TGTGCCATGATTATATCTACTTAGTTCTATATGTTACATTTGCATGAGTTCTGGTCGTTTTGTATTGTGAAAATGTTGCAATATTATTTTTCCAATTGAATAGGGACTGTGCTAATGGAAACTATTATATATGTTTCGCCAACCATTTTTTTCTGTATATTAATGAAGCATTTTCCTATTTTCCCACGCAACATGTATGTATTGATTAAGATAATCTGCAGTTTATATATAAGAAATGACTTTGGAGATTTGAATTTAAATATTTAAACTTTGTGTATAGAAACAACATTAACGTCATAACTATTTATTTCCATATATATAAAGTAACAAAATAAGTGTTAACAGAATGTTAAACTACATTGTTGTTCCACTGCTCTTATAGATTCACTACTACAGAGTCATAAAACCTAATTGTTCCTATACATCAGCAGCAATAACGGAAGTGTTCATGTTACCTCAGTCAGATTTATAAAACAGCCTTGGGGCGTAAAATGGTATTAGTATTCCCCCAGAAAGTCATAGCAACGACAACCTGAGGTTGACTACAGCACACACAAGTACTTGTCACGTTACTTTGGAAGGACGGAGATTTGTCTGATCAACGGAGGCTTTCGAACTGACAATTAGGGAATGCTTTTAATGTTAGCGGTAAATGACCGTATCAGAATATATATCCAAACAGTGGTTATGGAGGACGAAGGCACAATTCGTTCCTGGAAAACTGTCCGATTTAGTTATGCGAGTAACTAGCACACTAGTTCACCATGGAAAAATCAAAGAGGTGACTACAATCATTTCTAAAAGACCACACAGGTAAAATATTTTAGACACAAAGATGGTCCTGATTTCTTCTCCAGAGTAGCATTGGTTGTGAAAAACAATCGAAAGTGATATCCAAATAGATAACGTCGCACGGAACGTAAATAAAGACAGTTATGCTTTCGCAATGATTTCTAGCCGCACATTGTCTGTGTAACGTTAACCAGCCACCAGTAAAGCCGATACACAGTTGAATTGGCAAACAAAGATTTTTTCGCGATTTACCCCAAAGAGAGATTTCACAAACAATAATCGATTACAAACAGTCCAGTTTGACTCGGTAAACAGTTTTTGGAATATTGATACCTCTCGAAGTAATAAATAGAAAAACAAAACAAAACACTGCTTCGTCAGTTTTCATATAGACTTAATTCGTTTACTTTAAGGGAGAGTTTAAAACCAAAATATACTTATTAACACTCTCCAAGCGTGTCAATCATTCTAAGTTGCTTTATTTACTACTTTTAACACTATACATTAACACAAATATCTGAAATATCACTTCAACTATACTTTTATTAAAATGTTAATTTATATCTCTCAACCCAATAACGGTATTAAATTATTATTTTTTGAAAGTTATTATAAAGAGAAAATTACCAGAATATTTTTTTTGAAATGTACCACATTATGAGGCATATCCCTTTTGTAATGCTTTTATATGTCACTAATAAAATACCAGGTTCCTTATTTGTTTGTATGCATGTTTTAGTATCCACTGTAAATCAGAACCTATTATAATGTTTAAGCACATTAAAATGAAGGCAATATACTTGTGATCACAATCAAGGCAATTGATTTCATATTAGGAAGCTGCCGCTTCTTTTTAAGTTTAAATCAACTTTACTTCTTCAATGCATTGCTTAGTTTACTTAATTTTATAAAATCCGCCTTTAAATAACAGTCAAGAGCACATCACACTTGCTGATAACCAACCATAAACTTTAGGTTTTATCATTTCTTATAGATCCGTTTTGCTGTCGCTGTCCGTTGACGCGATGTATTTTTAAGGTAAGTGAATATTTATGAATTAAAGTTGGTATCAGGATATTGTCTTATGTGCTTGTACTAACCATACGCAGCATAATATAATTAACATGTTGAAGCTTGATGTACAGCCAGAGTTTAATTCAAATATCTACGTAATGCATGGTGCAATTTGTATTATCTTTGTATCGATCTGCTAAGCGATATACCACGAAATGAATTCTTCCTCGTCTTCTTGTTTTTCTTGATGAGGTAAAAGCAATGTGATAGTACATAGCCAGGCAGTTGTTACATTAAAAAGTTGTTAAAGGTAAGAAATATGTCAATGGTGGCAGGAAATGGTCGAGAGACAAATTATTTCATATGAAGGTTTCTAGAACACATTAATATACATCTCTCTGAAGACCATGGAACATGGTGGGTATCTAATTGAGTAGACTACAGAGGCTCCACATGTCGAAACCGTAAGCCAGGAATAGAAAACAGGAAGTAGTATAGACTAAGGTGGTGAAATGTAGTAGTCAATATTTTAAATGTCATTTAGTATCGATTGTTCGAAACTCATATTTCTCTCTCAGATATGAATACTAGGTCTTTATCATCTTAAAGGATGCTGGTTCATCAAGGTTCAGGTATACTTTACAATGGTTATTTTGATTTAATGTCACATATGTCCAATTAGATTTTAGCATACCTCAGCAAAATATCGCTTTTCCTAGTTCTAGTTTGCTCATTCTGCTAAAAAAAGTTGAAAAGTGACATTCTGCAAAACTTTTTACAAACTTAAAAAGCTATTTAATCGAGAGATCCTTGTTTCCCAGTTATTTTTGTAATTTTGTGGCACTTGGATACTTCTGATTAGACAATAGAAAGAAAGTACCACATTTTTGAGACCTCAGTTCAGACGACTTAATAGACCAATGAAATTTGGACTTTGCGTATTTTAAACATAGTAAGAGAAGTTGTTCTGGAACGGTTAGTGAATTATGTTTCATCAACGACAGCCGCAATGTAAATCCAAATAGTGTCACATTCTGATAACAAGAATAAGGCTAGTGACAACGAGATGACAATGCACTCGACCTTATAAATTACAAAGAACATGTAACCTACATCTCTCGAAACTTACGGTTGTAAGATTGTCCGTAAGCAGTCCACACCATATCCAGAAATAAGAATGTTTGAATCAAGCTTTGAATCAAGATCTATCGAATCAACTGTTATATATGAACACAGTAGGTAGGAATCAAGAGAGGGGAGGGGGTTTCTATCAAGAAAGAGTAAATTCACGATTGGAAAATCATAATTGTCACGCTTATAGAATGGCTTGGTAGAAAGACATTCCTGTTAGTCATATTATACTAAATTGAGTGAACGGCTGATATATTAAAGTCTACAGTGTCCATGAATTCAAACTCAGGAGGGGTGTGGTCATTACTTTCCTGTTATTAATAAAGAAGGCATTTCGTTAAAATATCTGAAAGTGAAATTAAATTACTTGCAATTATAGGGTGGGTATGTTTTCGATCATGGCATATGTTTAGTTATAACAAGTAAGTCGTCAGTTTTGGTATGTCTTTAAGAGTGTATTTAGTTAATATTTCGGTATTTTTAGGTTAGTATCTATAGGTATGTATTTAGGCACGTATTTATTTTTGTTTCGCTTTTATCTCAAACTTTTATTATTCTGCATTCTTGTCTTGGTGATAGAAACCCTAAAGTTGTCGTTTCCCTTTTTTATGTGTATCCTACATGCCTATGGATACAATGATAAACCTTACAAAACCTTATATCATAAAAACCAAAGTACGTATAGTTTGCATATAGGATTAAACACGGTTTAGTCAAGTTCCCCTTTACATAGGGTCACTTCAGCCTATACATGTATATATATCTCGAGGAATGTACCAATGATGATGGTTGTTTTTACATGTAGCTAAAAGCAATAGATAATACGGTCCTTTTTTGTTGATAATATTTATTCATTTTGTAATGCAATAATATAGTTAATTGGCAATTACATGTAGTATCTTTTTTTATTTATTTTGTAAAAGAAATTTAATGTACATTTATCATCGGATATAAAACTTTAACTTTGGTCTACTCCTTATTTACATCAGTAATCTATGTTGACTGCTAAATGTATCATATTTATGATGACTGTCTTGGCATTTTTCATTTTATTTTATAAGAGACGTCTGAAGACAAAATTCATAAAAAGGATTTCTACATAAAAAGGCAATAGGCTTCGGCCCTTATATTAGCGTATGTAAAGGTGACGAGTGCTGTCCGTGTGAGAGCCAGTCCGTAGTATATCCCGGTCTGTTTTGTTCTGTTGTGTACTAATAGTTTGACACATATTCTAAAATAGATAAACAATAACATCCGCAGGGGATGTTTTATATATCTGACCTCTAGGACTCCCATTGTTAAACTCGAAATATATCACTTTGGTGGGCAAGCAATGCTAACACATAAAAATATGCCCTACGGCATGGTATAAGGTTACCTTTAACTTTTAACTTTCACAAATTAAAAAAGGTAATTAAACTGTGTCATGATTATATCTACTAAGTGACAAAATAAATATATATATAGTTCCATATGTTACATTTGCATGCGTTCTGGTTGTTAAATATAGTGAAAACGTCGCAACATTGTTTTCCAAATTGAAGAGGGACTGTGCTAATGGACAAAAATATATCTGTTCCACCAACCTTATGTGTATTGCTATTATATCTGTTCCACCAACCTTATGTGTATTGCTATTATATCTGGTCCACCAACATTATGTGTATTGCTATTATATCTATTCCATCAACCTTATGTGTTTTGCTATTATATCTGTTTTACCAACCTTATGTGTATTGCTATTATATCTGTTCCACCAACCTTATGTGTATTGCTATTATATCTGTTCCATCACCCTTATGTGTATTGCTATTATATCTGTTCCACCAACCTTATGTGTATTGAACACTTTTTACCATCCTATTAAGGAAATACAAGTAAAATAAGATTTTTCTCTTTTGTGTATTTAACGAAATATTTCCTATTTTCCCCCACGCAATATGTATGTAATGATTTAGATATATATAATTTGCAGTTTATATATCAGAAATGTCTTTTGAAATTTGGTTTTAAATGAACTTTGTCGGTATTTAAACTTGTAAAGAAACAACAAGCAAGTTCAATAACGTCATAAAAATTTATTTCCATTTATTAGATATAAAGTAAAAAATAAAGCGTCAACGAAATGTTAAACTACATTGTTGTTCCACTGTTCTTATAGATTCACTACTACTGTCATAAAGCCTAATTGTTCATATACATCAGCAGCAATAACGGAAGTGTTCATGTTACCTCAGTCAGATTTATAAAACAGCCTTCATGTCTGTTTGGGGCGTAACATGGTATCAGTATTTCCCCCAGAAAGTCATAGCACCGACAACCTGAGGTTGACTACAGCACACACAAGTACTTGATACGTTACTTTGGAAGGACTGAGATTTGTCTGATCAACGGAGGCTTTCGTACTGACAATTAGGGAATGCTTTTAATGTTAGCGGTAAATGATCATATCAGTATCTATATCCAAACAGTGGTTATGGAGGACGAAGGCACAATTCGTTCCTGGAAAATTCTCCGATTTAGTTATACGAGTAACTAGCACACTAGTTTACAATGGAAAAATCAAAGCGGTGACTACAATCATTTCTAAAAGACCACTTTAAGATGTATGGTCAAATGAAAAACGAAGCCTGCAATCAAGTATGTAGCTGATCGTAAATCCCTGGTGTGTAACCATAGAGGGGTAGAGAAGTAGAATAATTCAGCTATCTGGCAGCCGATAAGAAATAGTATGTATACAACTGTACGTCACAAATATAGACGCGTGGTGTTACATGAGCTAGGCCCGTTATCACAAAAGCTCAAAGAGCAATCCGTTCACGTTTCATCGCCATCTTCTGCTAAAGTGGAATCAGGATCTTCGTTTACTATGGCTGTAGAGTTTACATGCACATTCTGATTTTTCCATGACACACTTTTACACGTGCCGTGGGTAGTTAAGATGACGTTGGATCGCAACATGCCTCGTTTCTGGTCTTTCCACTTCACAAGTTCCACGTTCGGATTTTCCTTGGCCACTTCTGAAAACACAGGAGCAAGGTCGTTTATAATATCCGTGTATACAATTGCGTCGTCCGAGATGCGCCGAACAGAGACGGGCATGTCCTTTCCGTCCGGAAGTGACATTGTCGATTTAACTTCGAAGTCAGCCATGCTGTTTCGTTCCGACACGACCACCGTTGCCTCGGCCGTGTGACCTTTGGCCACGTTTATTTGGGTGTTGACCTCCCACGTTATCGTTTCCTCGAACGTCTCACTCTTTGTTTTAGTGACTGACAACTCCCCACTCAGGCCCGCCCCTATTGTGACGATGTCGCCTGGGACCTTGATCTCGATGTTACACTCGGCCCCCTTTGTGTATGTTTCTTGGAATTCAACATTACATGATGCCTTTGTCTCACGTGTTGTCGTGAACGTGTACTGTTGATCTAGTGGTGTCCTATTCTCGTATTTGGATTTGTAAAGGACCACATTTTTATTCCCGTCCTTGTCCACGCCTTGCTGTTTGCTGGGACTAGCCTCTGCACTTCCGGTGGCTATTTCCCCTGGTAGTGCAATTGTACTGTAAGGGCGGATGTCAAACCTAACAGTGTCGTGCTTGAAGTCTGCGTAGCCCCAGTTGATGTCTATGTAATAATTGCTTTTCCTGCAAAATGGCCGACGGAGCAGGTGCTTGGTCTTACGGAATCTGTTCCATGTGTAGTCGTTTATGATTTTCTCGAGGTTCACAGAATAAACTCTTTCAGATGACGACATTTCAACCTATCAAGAAGAAAACAAAAGAAGTGAAACTCAACAGCTTAAAAAGTATATAAAACATATGTTTATTGTATCAAGTAAGCGTTTGATATAAGTATTCCAATCCTTTTGCTAAAAAGCAATATAATTAATTTTAACTAAACTCTTGTATTTTATGTACCTAGTTTTCCACATTGGTAACATTAGCAACATTCTGATAAAGGATAAAATTTAAGTTAATAGAACATATACATAGCGTCAACCCATAAAGACAAAAGCAATTCGAGAAGACAACAGAAGGAAACAGAACTACCAAAAGAACAGATACCCTGAATCTCTCACACAAAACGACGAAGTGTTTCGAAGGGTAAGGATTCCCTGCACCATATCTGGTCCCCGTAACGTATGTCGATCACCAAAGATCTAAGACACATTACACGTTTATCTTATCAAGTTAAAAACTTCAATCTCTGTGTTGGAAATCAGACCAAGAAGGTGACTTTTCCTAACAGTTGAATGAAACATTCCCGATAGAAAACCTTGGTTGTAACACCTTTAGGCAATAGGCCGCATTAACCAAAAAGTCATGATAAAACTAGATATTAAGTCAATCAATTTCATTACATGGGATATTGATTAGATTCGAGAGGTTTTCGAATTGTATAGGTATTCATTTAATCGGGATTGCGAGCAGCCCAGAAGGTACGAGTAGTTCACCACAAACCTCCCTTAACGTAAAGTTTGGTTCACCACAAACCTCCCTTAACGTTAAGTTTGTTTGGAACACAAACAGTAAAAAAATAACTTATTTTGCGAGCTTTCAAAAACGTCTGTTTCCTTTGTCAGAGGGACGGGCTATATGTTTACCCATTCCGCCCCTTATTACCCGCCCCTCTGACTGCTGTAGTATCAATATTGTCTGCCTGCTAAATTTACTGTTTAAGATTGTGGCTTAGTGAGTTGTTTTCAGCGGTTTAGAGCAGAGACAACGCCCATATGCACCCTTTGCTAAGCAAAGGAAACAGATATTTTCGAAAGCTCACAACATCAGTTTATAATTACTGTTTGCCTTCGAAACAAACTTAGCATTTATCATTCATACTAAATTTACGAACCTCATTCCAAATATCAAACCTATTTTGTTTAATAGAAATGCAATATACAGTATTTGAATGTGAAATCAAACAATTTCAGAAGTAAACATCTTCTCTACCTTCCTCAAAATTGTGGAAATGGTGTTTTTAGAACAAGGTCGAAGTCGAATGACCTGTGCCTGCTACAAAACCAATACAAACTCGCATATTTAGAATTGTCTTGCAATGTAATTGAAAAATGTTGGTGTAAACAGCACAACTGAACACAGACAAATGTCGGAACGAATTCAGCGATTTACACAATTAACAAAAGCCCTGCATGTACACTAACACGTAACAAACACATAACGACAATTGTTGTTCACCAGGACAAATTACGGTAGTGTTTCTAAAGGTTTCTTGCTGTTGGTAATTTGTAGATTCGCGTGTTTTGCTTGCTATGAATGGTCGGTGATAACTAATGATTAGGGAGACAGTGGCCTCTCGCGCTAATTACAGCCCGTGGACAGACGCACACAATCTCTGTGATCAATATGAGACCAATAACTTGGAATTACGGCACGAACAACAGGACTCTCTGGTCATAACCCTGCCATGGACGTCCGTTGGTATTTATTGTAATGAGGATCACGACGAGGTCTCCAGAGTGTCAACCCCTATTTGCTATGTAAATTGCCTAATGGCGGGAATATAGTTTTATTGTCCATATCACCACCAGGCATCACAATATTGTGTCAACGCGGGACGCAATGATGATTCAGGATAATATCGACCATGTCAGGGAATTAAAATATTTCTCCTAGCCATTCGAGTTCACAAGTGGTTGACTTATTCCATATGACAACTCTATGGACTGTTCTAGACAGGACAAACACTGATTGGCGTTCACTGGAAACATTATTCATTGCTATTTATACTGATTTGGAAATCAATCAAACCAGGAATCCGTGCGACTTAAAAGATTTAAAAGTAACTAGTAGATGCATATGGATTGGAACAGAATCCGAACGGAAAGGCTTTTACAGAATAAAATTCCAATCCTGTCTTCTTAAGTTATACCTAACGTCACTGGATCGTGCTGTTCTGACGGCTAGTACATTTTAGTATCCTGGCCAATAAGCATGGATTTTGTGCTCAAGCCCAAGTTCTTGTTCCAGTTTTAATTTAATGATTACATTTTATTCTGTCTATGATTTGAATAAAAAATGAAGAAACGTAAAGCCAGGTACTGTTTTAAATGTTTACATTTGACTTTTTGGCCGTTTGACATGAATCAAGCCAGTTACATGAAAATTGGTTTGAGCACTGAATTCATGCTTGAGCATGAGGACGGTTTCACGAATACGGGCCCAGGTCTTGACCCCATCTCTATCTTCATAATTGTAGATTTTCACTTATAATAGTTCGTTTAAATAATTCATGGAACATTTTACTGTGTATTTCTTTTTTATATTGGGCTCGACCACAGTCGTTTAAATGCTTCACGAGACATTGACAAAAAATATTTTGTCTGTGTGTGTGTTCAATTTTTGTTAAGGAGTGCTTCATCCTAAACCTTCTTCTTATGATAGAAATACCAGTAATTCATTGTTTGATATTTATGATGTTTTATGTAAATGTAAACATTCTATTTACAGTATTTAAATGTATTAACAATGACGTACCGTTGTATTACTAAACTTCACAGTAAATGGTCTATGTGAGTAAAATAAATATAGAATCTTTAGTGATATAACGAGGTGTTCTTTCGGTTAAGATTTCACGTCGAGCGGAGCAAGGAAAAAGGATGTTTTTTTTAACAGTAAATCCACCGATATACGTCCGTGAATCGGAGGGAGGTACACGGCATTACCCGTAGTGCTTCGCACCGTGTGGGAAATTATGGGTTAGCCGAAACCAGGCTAGGTGGTTTAGCTCTTTAAACTACATTGTATGTACAAGTCACAAGTTATTTTTCGTGAATACTTATTTCGACACTTGCTTTGCAAATGGGTTTTTCGCAAGAATTCGAACTGGCAAAATAAGCAAATCAGATTAAAGACGTCGTTAAAACCTGTAAAAGATATTGGGAAATAAGATATTTCATTACGTGTGATTATCTCGTCTCGCAAATTAACGGGAACATATGAAACTCGCAATATATATACATAGTTGGAAGTGTTGATATGTAGCTGATCCCACAGGAAGTAATCTTCCAGCTGAAACAATATTTCTCTGTATTACGATGCGTCATATAGACACAGCTATAACATTATTCACATGAGGAATGCTCCTGGTGAAAAGTTCCAGGTCTGGGGAAGCTATCGGCTAGATATTATTTACCAATATAACGTAAACAATGGTATAAGTTTTGTTTGAGTTTATTTCTGGCGTAGCAATCTGCGGATACTTTAAAGCAAGGGTACGTAAGTATATACTATGTTTATTTTGGCAAACCCTGCTGAGGATAAACTAACACTTTCTCGTCTTGTTTGTGTATATCACATACTACGAGATGATAGAGCGAGAATTCGACGCGTGCCACAGGTGAGACTAGGATACGCACAATTACCAAAGCTATGCGTATCTATGATGGAAATGACCACCATTACGGACACGCTTGACCGCCAATTACCAAGATATAGATAGTCAGCTGAACTCTTGACTGACATGATGGACGTCTGTTTGTAAATAAATGGCGCTAATGCGCACGTGCTGTTGACACATTAAATAAATATCCGGTTTGTCTATCAAATGGATGGGTTGATAAGGCCACGCAGTCGCGTGCCTAGGGGCTCTCGCCGCTAAAGAATTCGACAGTTTATTGCAGACTTCGAAATATACTCTATAAGCTAGTCAAACCGTGTCATGGAAATCTTTAATCATATTATTGTATAAAACTTATTTTAAGGCTATGCCAAACCTAACGTTACATCATCCACGACGAATACTAGAAGATAAATGGGCATAAACTGTTGCTCATATATATCGTAACAGTGATAACACGTTTTTACCAAGAAGAATGGATGTGTATAGGCTAGCCCAACAAACAAACAGAAACTTTAAGAAGAGTTAAGATAGGTTGGGAGAGGAAGACGATCCATGTCAGGGAGGGGGGGACGGCAGTATTTACAGGTACAGAAAGACGAAAACTAAGAAAGGGTGAAAAGGAGACAAGAGGAAACGATAGTTTATGTCTTAATAACATAACATACTGACAATATGGTGGGGAGGGCAGCTTTCGGTTATTTAGGGAAATAAACTACAATTTAATTTCACAAGTCTCATTTTCAACCACAGACTATTTCCATGTAATGGAGGAGGTCACTGGACACAAAGCATTGATGAGTGCTATTGGGTAAATTCAATGGGTTCAGATAGTGTAGTGGTAATTTATTTCCCTCAGAGGCCATTTTGACATTAGTTTGAGGGTTAAAACGCAAGCAGAATGAACGCTACATTATCTTCAATATAAATACTACGTAACCCTAACAAAGCGTACGATAGTGACCATGGCGGCGTTAGTTTATCGCGGTCCAAGTGCCTCAACTATCTAGATCAGGGGCGTTCGTTAGGAAACTCAGAGACACGGCTATATACAGTGGTAAGGTATTGTTTTCTGACATCCGAGTTGTTTGATAACGGTACATCAACCAGAACACATTAGATCTACCCAAGGCGGTTCACTCACACACATACATAAGTTCTTTTGTCAGTCTATATAAAGCTTGATATTGTTTGAACCCATTATCATGTGTTTCTCAAGTCCTTTAAATAACATTTATGACAAAAATAATAACTGGGGTTTTAAATATTGCGGCATGGCCATTTTTCTTTATGTAGGTAGACAGTATCTATTTATCCTAAACTTTAAACAGTTTTTAAACATTCAACAGTTGTATTAACACTGTAAGAAAAAAATAGAGCTTATCACTGCTTGCTTTAACATGTTATTTATTTAGGATTTAATACGGAAGGTTACGTGAATTATTTACACTACAAATGGTGTGGGTCCGCGCGGTTGTAAACCACCTCCTTCATGGTGTTAAGTAACAGGAAAATATTTTGACAACATACAACTTTATAGTAAATCATACAAAACAACAATGTCTCACTACTATTATAAGTATATAAGGAACAGGAACAGATACTAGGGTCATATTACCTGCCTGTAACAGACTCCCAGGTAATATGAAACCTTTGATAAACCGAACAGACAGCTAATAAGTTTATATTGCTCCCATTAATTATTTTTTGTGTAAAAGTCATGGTGCAAAAGACTGCAGGATTGGACAGTTTCCATGGGTCTAATAAAAGTCCATACCTTTTATCGGCAGTGATTATTTTTGTCCAGTATAAATTATTATTCAAACCCGTCCATTTTAAAGGACCTATTTTGTGTTTGAAGAATTATACCCCAAACATATACATATCAGAAATATTATTAGGGTATGGTAGTTACATATATTTTAAAACAATACCAGTTTGTACATTATTTTTATGACATTACTAGGTAATTACATTTTAAAACATAACTTGTTTTTAAATATGTTTTAATACATTTCCGGTACGTACATATACATGCATTTTAAGACATTACTTGAATGAACATGTACATACAATTTTATACATACGTTCTATGTCTATATATTTGTTATTATCACATACAATACCATCATATCATATTATATCATATTATACTTGGTACGTGCATTTGATTCGAAGACATCATCGGTATTGTCATAAGTATCAAACATTTTAGTATATCTTTTTTTTATATCAGACATTATTGATATATGTACATTTTTAAATATTACATGTTTTATATTACAGGTATATAAATATACGTTAAGACATTACTGGACATTTACATATGCCAGTGATTAATTCGAAAATGGATTGGATGGTGATTTTTACATTAATTTTGTTGTGGTGGAAGGGAAGGAAGGGGTTGGCACAGTGAACCGGAGTAACTATCTGTACAGAAACACTGACATTAACTCCAACCTGATGCTACAAGATAACGTTTTATAACCGTCTCACATTAGCTTCAGTCACGACTCAAGATCACTGCACGTGCCTGATACCCTTCACGTGCCTTGTACGCTTCACGTGCATGTGTCTGTTTTTGATTATCAATTTGTTTATCGTTTGAGGAAATACCTCAGTATAATTTAATCTATGTTAACATTAAGGCTATTTACTCTCTCAAAGCGTCGGGGAAACTATTTTCCACCATGGTATTGAGAACTACCAATACATATATATTTATCTCACATGAGTAGGAGAGCACCATGATTTGTGTAATACGCACGTGTCTTGTGTACAATATTTTTGGACGACTTTGTGTCTCTTTTTTACAAGGGGCTAGCGATAAAGTACTACGTCTCATATTTTCAGTTAACTAAAGATTCAAAGAAAAAATAACATATTTATGTACGCAGGGGCTGACAATCATTTTGTTTTTAGACAACTCGAGAGATACGTTTGTTCACATATTACACTATCACATTTGAGAACATGTAAACATATCTTGAAGGCCCTAAAGGACGTTTTCTTCGTGTAATTTCGTATGTTCTTTTACAAGTCAGTAAGCAGGACGATGCCTTGTGGATCGCGTTTGACTGATTTCCTTGTTGATAATCAAAATGCCGAATTTATATTGAGGGAAAAAGTAAATGATTCTAGAATTTTATCAATTCTCAGTTTCAAGGTCTACCATTCATGACCAATGGTAGTGTATCGAGTATACGATTGAAAGCCTCACACAGAGGTTAGTCGGCAACAGATGAATTTTACTCAATTATAGGTAAGAGAAGAAAATTCATCGCTCAAACTAGTCACCTCGGCGAGTATGAGATCTATACAGGTCTATAGGTGGATCCTCTAATGTGCCCGAGACTACCCGATTATTATCCCAAACTGGACGGGAAATGAACCCTTATATTAGGAAGAAATTAACGTATTGGATTACTTATATTACTGACACGTATAACCCGTGATTCAAACTTGCTAAGGTAGTTGTATGACACACGTCTCCGATTCTCAGTGTGACTGAGATAGAAAGTAACATACTAATAGTTAGAGAATTTTAGCCCCGTAATATCCGACACGCCTCATTGCTTTAGACATATGATGACCTATCGATAGGAAGGCCGAGTGCGCCCGTAGGTCAATTCTGAAGGAGTGTGTACTACGACGGGTCAGTTCAAATACACGCGTATAATTATATCGAATTGTTTTCTAATTTTATTTGTTTATAACAACGGTATGATCATATAGCATAGAATTCTGGCAGATGTCATAATTTCCGAAGAATGGCTTGTTCTTAGTGTACATTTGATTGTCTGTCTTTCGTTTGTGAAATATGACAGTATGCAAATACATTCAAAATAGAGCAGGTGCACTGGGTTTCAGGAAATAGACAAATATATACACGTATAAATATATATAACTTGTATGTGATATCGCTCTGCGGAGTAAAATCATACGTGAACCTAAACGCTTCTAGATCTATTATAAACTTGCCACAAATAGCAATTGAAAACAGTATTGTAGTACAGATACACAATTCCGAATGATCTAGTATAGAAGACTTCAGTGGAAAATGTATGACATTTATACTATTCTGGTCCATAAGAGCTTGTGTATGATGACAGACAATGACTTCCGAGTAGTTCAAGTAGTTCAAGAAGATTGACCTCTTCACATAATATAAATATTTCCTAATAATGATGGCTAGGTTTCTCGTTATGCAACAGGTCTAAAATATGTAGTAACACTTACACACACAAATCAATGTTCCTTCGTGCAACGGTTCGAAAACATTGCACACCAACCGTTTCGTGGCTACACAAACCTTCACCATTGAACACATGCGGTTGGGTAATTGCGGAAATATTTATTACCGAAATTTAATAGTAACTTCAAAACTAAATGTGCTATAAAATTAAGACTGGATTTATTTTAGGGCTGTTTACAACTGATGGCTTGTAATCAGCTACGATCTATAGTGAAAGAAACACAATAACAACAATTAAAACATTCCGCACATTTTATCAATAAAGTGTATTCGGCGACTAAGACCAACAAATTAGGGTTTCGTTATTAAATAGCTGAAGAATTAGTTTTAGCTTATCTTCCCTTATCAGTATATACAGAACGGATGAAAAGGCTTTTTGTATATGTATTTCGAGCATGCGCACAAAGGATAGATATGAAGAAAACGAAAGGAATGTTGATCGGAATGTTGATCCCGCCTCGAAACGATATATCCATAGCGTAATGATATTTAAACCAACTTTGCGTTTAAAACCCAACTAAGTATATCTACTTTAGAAAACAAAGCGGAAAAACCAAGATGGCATTTCCACACCCACTCCTCGACACACCCACATAAGGTTGCGACGTTGCACACATGCATACAATTACAATGCGTGTACAAAAAGCTCATTTTTTCAAGAAATATATGCATACATTTTGTAACGTTTTATTTCATAGAAACGAAAAATAGCATGCACTTTTAAACAGGAAGTATATACTTGGTTATATAAAATGACTGGACTAAACAATTCTTACGCGAATTCAGAGAGAAAATGGCGTCGCTCGAATTCTTTACCCGGGATAAATTATAAATGTAAATATTTATGTGTTGACTTTATCACTAAAGACGTTTGACTAACAAAGCAGAACATGACAATCACTTAACGATATTAATATTTAAACCCTAACACAAGTAACTGTATCAATGCTTCTGAGAATTGACTGGAATTTGTTCGTTACAAAATAAAATATAGGTGTGTTTCTTACCTTATAGAGGATTTCCCATAAAATGTACACAAAGTCTACTAAATCAAACACACAATCAACTTAAAAATTACAGCATCCAGCTAATAGTTTTGGTAACAACGAAAAGGTCCAATTTGTACTTGTACTATTCCACCGCTACGTCTAACTTCCCCAATGGCTTCCACCAGAACCAAGACCTTCCCCGCTTGTTGCAGTAACGAGTAAATTAATTCACCCACGTGACCCGCCCATCCAATAGAAGCACTCCAATAGATCAGGACAACCTCTAAAGTGTTACAACGTACAGTTATTATAAATGCAGTTCTAGGTAAGCAGCAATTGCGTGTATAAACACGAAAAATGCATTGTGATATTTTTAAAAATGTCAGTACTACCTTGATTTTACACGCTGAACTGTGCATTGTCGACAGAGCAATTTAAACCATGTTAACGCAACAGAAAAATGTAATGAGAGACAAAGACTAAGGGACAGACGTGCTGACTGCTATGGGTCATGTAGGTCACATTGTAGATAGGTACGTTATCACGTTATCTATGTGTGTGACAATCAACATTCGATCTGTGGCGACAGACGCTTTTTAGTGTTATGCAAACGAATGGAGCCCATGGCCATGCTGGGGCAAACTTTGAGCTGACTGCCAAACAGACTCGGGCGCGTGAGTCGATCGAACGTCGTAGGGTTCTTCATTGAAGTCGATTGTCATATGCACGTGTGTTTCCCATTTTGTTGTGACGGATTTATCGAGTTACATATGCAAAACAAAGTGGCGCACATCTTTTAGATCGAATTCTGAGTTTGATGAGATAAAAAGTGACATTTGATAGAATAAGAATTGGAGTAAAGGCGATTCTATTATTTGTGCACGTGTGTAACATGTGCCTTCGAGATAAAAAGTGACATTTGATAGAATAAAAATTGGAGTAAAGGCGATTCTATTATTTGTGCACGTGTGTAACATGTGCCTTCGTCAGACATGTTGTACAGGTAAAACAGGTTAGTCTATGATTGACTATTTTCATATGAGTTTTTAGGGTATGTTGCTTTTTATTTTATTAAATCACTACCTATACATGTCATTACCGAAGAAATTTGAACAAAACACGGTATTTAAGGTTTAATTTCTATAGAAAGGTGAAGCAGTACAAGGAAGTAAAAATTGTTTCAGAAGGATTGCATCACCGCGTGTATAGTACATGGACATGTCATAACATGCTTATACAGTTTATATATAAAATTGTAGTTAGACGATTACCGCGTATATATTATTTTGTAGTTAGATTATTATTGCGTGGACATAGAAATATAAGTTCAAATGACCATAATATTTTCTCATTGTTGATTGAAGTCTCACAGGCGAAGAACCCCAGCAAATAGTTAATTGGTCGACAGGACGCACATATCGAGTAACTCCTGATGCTAAACAAGAGGCCCATGGGCCTTAACGGTCACCTGAGTCCTACAGTATTTATTTTTGTTGTTGAAATATGTACCAATTTGAGTAAAAAATAGTTAAGTATAATGCTAACTTAACTTTGTCAGGACCATGAGCTGATCATTCCTAGACGGTTTTCAGTGAGATCGGCCTATTAGAACTTGTTTTTAAGTTTGAAATAGGTATTTACAAAATAGCGGCCATGGCAGCAAAATTGTTCTTCTGATTGACCCGAAAAATAGCAACACTTTGTCAGGACCATGATTCGATCATTCCTACAAAGTTTCAGTTCAATCGACCTAGCAGAACTTGACTTTAAGTTTGAAATATTTTTTCAAAATGGCGGCCGTGGCGGACATATTGTATTTCTGAACGACCCGAAAAATAACAACACTTTGGCAGGACCATGAGGCGATCATTCCTACCAACTTTCAGTTTAATCGGCCCAGCAGAACTTGACTTTAAGTTGGAAATAGTTTTTCAAAATGGCGGCCGTGGCGGACATATTGTATTTCTGAACGACCCGAAAAATAACAACACTTTGTCAGGACCATGAGTCGATCATTCCTACAAAGTTTCAGTTCAATCGACCTAGCAGAACTTGACTTTAAGTTTGAAATAGTTTTTCAAAATGGCGGCCGTGGCGGCCATATTGGATTTATGATCGACCCGAAAAATAACAACACTTTGACAGGACCATGAGGCGATCATTCTTACAAACTTTCAGCTCAATCTGCCCAGCAGAACTTGACTTTAAGTTTGAAATATTTTTTCAAAATGGCGGCCGTGGCTGCCATATTGGATTTGTTGTTGACCTGAAAAATAACAACACTTTGTCAGGACCATGAGTAGATCATTTGTACCAACTTTCAGTTCAATCGGCCCAGCAGAACTTGATTTTAAGTTTGAAATAGTTTTTCAAAATGGCGGCCGTGGCGGCCATATTGGATTTATGATCGACCCGAAAAATAACAACACTTTGTCAGGACCATGAGGCGATCATTCCTACCAACTTTCAGTTCAATCGGCCCAGCAGAATTCGACTTTAAATTTGAAATAGTTTTTCAAAATGACGGCCGTGGCGGCCAAATTGGATTTCTGATCGACCCGAAAAATAACAACACTTTGTCAGTACCATGAGGCGATCATTCCTACCAACTTTCAGTTTAATCGGCCCAGCAGAACTTGACTTTAAGTTTGAAATGTAAAATGTTAACGGACGACGGACGACGGACGGGCGGACGACGGAAGACGGACGACGGACGACGGACGACGACGGACGAAAACGGATAGCAATAGGTCACCTGAGCTAAAGCTCAGGTGACCTAAAAACCTTCCTCTGAAGTAGCGAATTATCTGTGATCTGCATACTCCAAAAAAATATAAGGACAAATGGACGAAGACCGCGGAATTAAAGTCTATATACAATGACTCAATACACTACTGAGTCAACAAAAAATGTCTCAATACACTACTGAGTCAAGACATAATGTCTCAATACACTACTGAATCAACACATAATGTCTCAATACACTACTGAGTCAACACATAATGTCTCAATACACTAGTGAGTCAACAACTAATGTCTCAATACACTACTGAGTCAACACATAATGTCTAAATACACTACCGAGGCAACACATAATGTCTCAATACACTACCGAGTCAACACATAATGTCTCAATACACTCCCGAGTCAACACATAATGTCTAAATACACTACTGAGTCAACACATAATGTCTCAATACACTACTGAGTCAACACATACACAATATACTACCTACACACAATGACCATAATGTCTCCTCACACTACTGAGTCAACGCATAATGTCTCAATACACTACTGGGTCAACGCATAATGTCTCAATACACTACTGAGTCAACACATAATGTCTCAATACACTACTGAGTCAACACATAATGTCTCAATACACTACTGAGTCAACACATAATGTCTCAATACACTACCGAGTCAACACATAATGTCTCAATACATTACTGAGTCAACACATAATGTCTCAATAAACTACTGAGTCAACACATAATGTCTCAATACACTACTGAGTCAACACATAATGTCTCAATATACTACTGAGTCAACACATAATGTCTCAATATACTACTGAGTCAACACATAATGTCTCAATACACTACGGAGTCAACGTATTAGGAAACAATAAACCAAAGTCAATAAGCAAGGACTCAATATACTACTGAGTCAACACACAATGACTCAATATACTACAGAGTCAACACACAAGGACACAATATACTACAGAGTCAACACATATGGACTCAATATACTAAAGAGAAAACGGACAAAATATACTACAGAGTCGACACATCAAGACACAATACACTACAGAGTCAACACACAAGGATAAAATATACTACAGAGCCAACACCCAAGCACTCAATATACTACAGAATCAACACACAGGGGTTCAATATACAACAGAGTCAACACATATGGGTTCAATATACTACCGAGTCAACACACAATAACTCAATATACTACAGAGCAAACACACAAGGACACAATATACTACATAATCAACACACAATGACACAATATACTAAAGAGTCAACACACAAGCACTCAATATACTACAGAGTCAACACACAATGACACAATATACTAAAGAGCAAACACACAAGGACACAATATACTACAGAATCAACACACAATGACTCAATATACTTCAGAATCAACACACAATGACTTAATATACTACAGAGTCAACACACAAGCACTCAATATACTACAGAATCAACACACACGGACACAATATACTACAGACTCAACACACAATGACTCAATAAACTACAGAGTCAACACACAAGGGCACAATATACTACAGAGTCCACACACAATGACTCAATATACTACGGAGTCAACACACAATGACTCAATCTACTACAGAGTCAACACACAAAGACCCAATATACTACAGAATCAACACCCAAGGGTTCAATAAACTACAGAGACAAAACACAATAATCTCAATATACTACAGAATCAATACACAACCACTCAATATACTACAGAGTCAGCACACACGGACACAATATACTGCAGAGTCAACACACAAGCACTCAATATCCTACAAGATCAACACACAAGCACTGAATATACTACAGAATCAACACACACGGACACAATATACTGCAGAGTCAACACACACGGACACGATATACTACAGAGTCAACACAAACGGACACAATATACTACAGACTCAACACACAATGACTCAATATACTTCAGAATCAACACACAATGACTTAAAACACATAATGTCTCAATACACTAACGAGTCAACACATAATGTCTCAATATACTACTGAGTCAACACACAATGACTCAATCTACTACAGAGTCAACACACAACAATCTTAATATACTACAGAATCAACATACAAGCACTCAATATACTACATAATCAACACAATCGCTCAATATACTACAAAATCAACACTCAATGACTCAATATACTACAGAATCAAAACACAAACACCCAATATACGACAGAGTCAGCACACAATAATCGCAATATACTTACTACAGAGTCAACACACACCGACACAATATACTACAGAGTCGACACACAATGACTCAATATACTTCAGAATCAACACACAATGACTTAATATACTACAGAGTCAACAAACAAGCACTCAATATACTACAGGATCAACACACAAGCACTCAATATCCTACAAGATCAACACACAAGCACTGAATATACTACAGAATCAACGCACAAT